GGGCAGGAGAAGAGGAGCAGGAACCGCTGTCAGGAGCTTTTAGCCCGATGAGGCAGCGGGCTGGGGAAGCGGCGCCCGCGGCTCCGGGCGGCTCCGTGCTCATCCGAGTCCAGCCTTGGTGCTGGGATGGGGTCAGCGGGAGTAGGATCCCAGGAGCTGCTCCTGTCCCAAAGCCTCCATTGGCTTCCAGGAGTCTCCCGGAAGAAGCAGGGGCCGGCGGCAGGCGAGAAATCCAGATTGCTTTTCCAAATAATCTCAAACTCCCCTGTTCAAACCCGTGTCGCAGTGTTCAACGCGGCCCCATCTTCCCAGGGTTCAACTTGATAATGGAAGTTTTGCGGACATTTTAATCCTGTTTTCCCCTCGTCTAGATATCAGCAAATGAGAGTCTTCCTATAGCTTTTCTAACACTTCTGCAGCTGGAACAGATGTGCAACACAGCTGCACATCTGTCCACCTGCTGCAGGGCCTCCACCTGCTTAACCCTGGCACAACTATGGGCTCTGCTGGTGCCCAAATGAAGCAGGTCACCCCAAAACCTACCCCGGGGACTGTCTGATCCCCAAAGCAAAGGGATGAAGAGCTAAGCGGGATGCTGGCCGGGAGCCGCTGCATTCGCCTCTGGGCACTTCGGCAGGTTGGTGGCCAGAGCTGGGAAAGGAGAGCACAGGCTGCGCTGTGGCCATGGGCGCATCCTCCGCACGGGGCTGCAGCGGGCACCGAGCAGCGGAGCATCCCTGCGCCCGCGAGCGATGCTACAGCACTAATGCGAGCCCCGAAAGAAAGGAAGCATTAGCAAACGTGCGCCAAGAAGCAAGGACAAAAGCGGGATGCAAATCCCTCTTTTAATAGCCCCTGGACTGGAGGAGAGTGGTTCGACGGCGGCGGCGACGCTAATGCTTTCTGATGGGTACCTCGCATCTCCCCGCTGAGCTGCCAGCCTGCCCCGGCGCAGATGGGGCACTCGGGAAAATATGTCCTGATGCGGGAGGCGGAGCGGAGAAATGGAAAATCTCCTGCCCGCGGGGGCAGCCTACGTGATCGCCAGCCCCGTGCCCAGGTTTAGACCCCCAAGCTGGCCCCGCTGAAGTGGCACGAGCACGTCCGTAGCTGTACACGTGGCAGCAGGACGTGTCCAGAGGGTGACAAGGGCACCGTGCCCATTGGGATCCCCATGGTGGGGTCTGCCACGGGTTTGGCAGCTGGTTTGGGGTTGCATCCCTCCACCTTTCCTCGCTCCCGGGAAAGGAAGGGAGTGGGATTGGGTCCCCACCTTGCTTGCCCTTTGGCGGAGCCTCTCCGGTGCCCTGAGCCGCAGTGTCCCTGCAGGTCGGGCGCTGCTGCGGCTGAACGCGGAGAAGCTGCAGCGCATGGGCATTGCGCACGAGGCGCAGCGGCAGGAGGTCCTGCAGCAGGTCCTGCAGCTCCAGGTGCGCGAGGAGGTCCGAAACCTGCAGCTGCTCAGCCAAGGTAGGGGCAGAGGAGGCTGCATCCCCTCCTGCAGCCCGCGGTGCCCACGGGACGGCACCGGGGCACGGTCTAAGCACGGTGACATGGGGACAGGGTGCAGAGCACCGAGCAGTTTGGTGCTTGTTTGCATCGAGGAGGTGGGACACGTTGGGGACGGTGGCGGCAGGGCTCGGATGCAGCAGCCCACTCACGGCTTCCTCCCCTCGTTGCAGCTTCTTTTGGGAATGTCTCCTAGCCGATCCCTCCGTTTGGCGGGGTGGGCCAGCACCTCTGCGACGGACTGCGTGCCGCAGATGGGGAACCCAAAGCGCAAGCGCGGAGCCGGAAGAGACGGCCTGCCCAGCGCGCCGGGGCTCTTCTCCTCCTTCTTCTCTCTCTTTTCCATAACTCCATTCCTGTGCGGAGGTGGGATGCCTCCTTCCGCAGAGAGGGCTCCCAGCCAGAGGGAAAGCAGGAAAACGGCCACCAGGATGGGCAAACTTATCCCCATCGGAGCTTGACTGTTGGCAGGAAAAGAGACTGCCATGCCGGGACAAGTGGGCACAGCAAGGTGACATCTGATGCCCACGAGCGACCTCGCCGTGTCTGGAAGCTCCCGTCCCGGCGCAGGCTGGGGCCGGCTCCAGTCTCCGGTGTCGATACCTCCCGGCTGGTTTAGGGAGCTTTATATTTCCCTCCAGCCTGGGCTGTCTTCCAGCGCGCTAGGAGATAACGTTATCGGGAGCAAATGAGATGACCCGCGCAGGCAGAAGAGTTGGAAGCCGGGCCAAGTCGGAGAGCCTGGACTCACTTCGGGAATTAGAAAAGATGCTGAGTCATCGGGGCCGGAAACCTGCCGGGTCGGCGCTGCGGGCGGGCGCTGCGGTGGCGGCGGCAGCGCCGGGAGCGCGGTGCTGCCGTGTCCTTCGCGCGTCCTCGCTCGCCGCCGCGGCTCTCCCGAGGGGTGACATGAAGGTTCCTTGGTGCAATATCCCTGTATCCTCGCGCCTCGTCCTCCCTTCCCATTGCAATTCCCTCCTCCAGCCCCCAGGTGTATTTATGAGCTCTCCTGTGCGCTCCGGGCGCTTGCCACGTGCTTTGCCGAGGGGCCAAGCGCGCAGCCCCCCTGCCCAGTGCTCGTGCCTGCAATGCCGGGAGCTGTGGGGAGAGCTGTGGGCCGGGATGCTCCCAGTCCTCCGGAGGAAACCTCCGCTAGGGCCTCCGGTTCTTTGGAAGCGGATGGCAGGCGCCAGGTCCCGCAGCCTGTCTCCTTTGCTGTTAATAAAGCAAGAGACTGTTATTTTAATATTTTTAATTTTCCCCTCTTCTGCCTCTTGTCTGCCCAGACGGATGCTGGAAAAGGGAAACTGGGAAGTGTTGCAAGGAAAGGCCTTGCTGAGACGGGAGGGGGTATCTGGGCATAGAGGATCTGTAGGGGAAGGAGCACCAGAGCGCTGAGCCGGGGCTTGGAGCAAACTGCAGGAATGGGGAATGCCCTGGGTGCTCCGTTTGCTTCCCCAGCAGTGGATGCCTGGGGGCTGGGGCTTTCCGAGGACGGAGTCACCGAATCCTTGGTTCACATTAATGCAGTGGAATCCCAGGGATACATGGGAGCCCCTGTGCTGTTCGTGATGGGAGGCAGTCGGAGGGAGAGAATGCCTGAGAATGCCTGAAATGACACCGCAGAGCAGCGAATCCACATGGCAGAGCTGCACTCCGGCATGAGCCGGGACCACGGTGAGGTGGAAGGGGAACTAGCAGTGGTCTGGGATGCTCCCGGGAATTGGCCGTTCACCCTCCTGCCTCTGGGGCCGACCTGATCCCATCAGACCAGAGAGAGCCCAGTGCGATCCAGGTCCTGTCCCAGACTCTTGCCAGGAGGCTGCTCCCTGGAAAACATTCCCCAAAGGGTGGGAAATCAGGATGAAGCTGGGAGGAATCATGCCTGGAGCTCACAAAAAGCATGATTGCAACCAGGGCATTCTGGAGCCCTCACTGGTGTCCCCAAGGAGGGACTGCAAAGGCAAAATTCCTCCCACGCTGGGGCATGGATCACAGACACTTGCTTCCCTCTGTGCCAGTGCTGACCTTTTCAGAAAGGCACCAAAATGGGCTCTTCACACGGCCGCAGCACGTCCCGGCAGCACTGGGGTTTTAAAAGTGGAAAGAAAACAACTGGGTAAAAAAAATAAAAAAGCCACTTCTGCAGCAGCGACGGCCTCGACGGTGCCCAAAAGCATTCGGAGAGTGAAGAGATGCTGGCGAGTGAAACCGCGGCTCCGGTGTCGTTAGAGGGAGACGCTGAGCTTTGATCTGGGAGCATCGGAGGCGCCAACGGGAGAAGCGGCTTTTCCAGAGCTCCGGCATTGGGCAGCGCCTGTGGGGCATTCAGGGCTGTTTTGGGCCCGGTGTCCTGGCATGTCCCAGCTTCGCTTTATCCCTGGGGAAGATTTTCTCTTCACCTACCCTGGTGGTTACTGAGCACAGGACTGAACCATGACAGGTGGCACCTCTGCTCCAGTAAACACTCCCTGTTTCCCAAAAAGTGAAATTCTCGCTCAGCGATAAAGCAACTTGGATTTCCCGGTCTGCTCTGGCCCCCGGGTTCCCACCACCCTTTGAGGGCTGATCCATCTTGATCCATCGCAAACGAACTGAGCGCGGGGCCGGGATGGCTCAGGTGCCACTCAGGGCGAGATGCACAATATAATTAACATTTCCTCCGAGGTCCCCTCTCTCTTGCCTCATTAATTAAGCTGATGCAGAGCACTCCACGCAGCATGCATAATGAGCGGCTGCTAACGGGATGCTGCCGACAGTGCCTGGTGCTGCACGGTGCATGGTGCTGCACGGTGCTGCATGGTGCTGCATGGTGCTGCATGGTGCAGGACGGCCACGGTGCAGGGACGAGACCTTTCTTGCAAGCGGGTACAAGCACCAAGGCAGCTCCTCTTCTCCTTGCTGCACGGCCCAAGCTCGTTTTTGGCACTTGCCCTGCTGATGGTGTCTTGCAATGGAGACTTAATGGGCTCTTAATAAGGGTGACAGCTCCTTTAATTGGAAAGTATCGGAGCAGGGATAATTGCTTCACTTTTAGGTTCTCATTTGCAGCTCCTAATTGACCCCGGGGAGAGGTGCCCGCTCGGAGCCAGGATCTCTGTCGGGTGTGAGACGAGGAAGAGGAGTACGTGTGCCCCGGGATGTCCTTGCAGGGGTGCAGGTGGATGGGGAGCTGTGGAAAGGGTGCCCTGTGCACGTGGGCATCCTTGAAGGGCCGCATGCACACAGATGCCCTTTCCTCACAGGACTGCATGCACATGCATGTCCATTACTTGCAGGGCAGCATGCACGCAGATGTCCTTTCCTTGCAGGATTGCATGCAACGGGTGTCCTTTCCTCGCAGGACTGCATGCACATGCATGTCCATTCCTCGCAGGGCAGCATGCACACGGATGTCCTTTCCTCGCAGCGTTGCACGCAGGCAGATGTCCTTTCCTTGCAGGATTGCATGCAACGGGTGTCCTTTCCTCGCAGGACTGCATGCACGTGCATGTCCGTTCCTCACAGGGCCGCATGCACACAGATGCCCTTTCCTCGCAGGCTGCATGCACACGGATGGCCTTTCCCTGCAGCATTGCATGCACATGGACACCCTCGCAGGGCTGCACACTTGCGGGTTAGACAGACAGGAGGGACTCCGACACGGCTGCCCGACGGGGCCCCGGCCATGCACCCCGGCTGAGCCAGATACTCTTCATGCCTCCTGATCATACAAAGAGCCAGACAAGCTCTTTTTTTCTCCCAGCAGATGACACTTTAACTTAAAGCCAGTGGAGATTTTTCTTTTCTTTTTTTTTTCCGTTTTTTTTTTTTGTGCTCCCTTCACTTCAGTCACAAGTTTGCAGCACTGATATCCAGGTCCGGCCCACCGCCCCTGCATTCCCAGCATTTCCATCCCCTTCCCGAAGGAGCACCAGATCCGTACGGCCAGCGGCACCGAGGCCGATGACCCCAGGAAGGGCGACAGCGGCAGCACCGGGGCGCGGGCAGCAGCGGCAGGGCCGGGGCTGA